CGTAGCATAAGGACAGGAAGCCTAGCGTATTTTCAAGATATCAGAAGAAGTTATACATTACATATGCTTTTTTTAAAAGCCATGTTACACTTGAGACATTTAATTAAGGGGTCCTCTGCCATAAAGAAATGGAGAATAGATGGAGGTTTAAAAATCTGAATGAAAGCACTTCCATGGAGACTGACATACAGGAGCCTCAACTACGGCCAATCTGTAGCAGAAGCAGATTCTTAAAGCTCTGACAGAAAAATCTTCTTCTCACTTCATGTAGAAAACTCACTGCTGTCCACCAGGATGCAGATTCTTAAAGCTCTGACAGAAAAATCTTCTTCTCACTTCATGTAGAAAACTCAGAACTTATGCCTAACTCACAACACAAACTGAACACTGCATTTTGGGCGAGAACCTCAACAGATTTACAGAGTTAAGAACCTAAAAAAATACATTTCTAATTAGCCATTAAAGAAAGTGGGGGAAGATTTCACACTTCAAAGAATACAGCAAAAGACAAATTTCCTATTTACAACCTAGGTTGAAAATTTTCTAGATTAAATACAAAGTTCAGAACTTTAGAAAACTGGCCATAAGTTCAGCATTTGGGTTTATTAAAAAATATAGTCTATTAGATCTTTTAAAATTCAGAAGCGACGGTAATTATTGACTAAACACTTGGAACGAGTGTCTGTTTAGGTAGTACCACCGGTTTTGACAGCTGCCTCCCGGGCAGCACAAAGGGAGCATTTTGTCAAATCACTCAGTGTTCAGTGGGAAGACTGGAGGCCCATTAACAAAGGAGAAATCTACTTGGTGCTTTCAAAACAAGGACTCTTGTTTTCTCCCACATTTTTATGCAGCTACTGAAAAGTGAGACAGCCAAGGCTTGGTTTATATGGCTACTTTGTAATGAAATGAATTGCATCCCAGAAGTCTTTAAGAATCTCACAGCACAAGATCAGGTTTTGATAACATGATTTTCTCTCTTAATGTACCCAAAATACTTCAGGCAACTTAATTTAATGAAAAAATAACACGTTACCTCATGCATTTACTTATATTCCAGTTTCTGTACAAATTCAGTGTGATAATATTTTTACTTTTACTATAAAATAGTAAAATAAAAAATATAGTAA